GGAGCGGGGAGGGAGGGGAAAAATGAGGACCTAATGTCGGGGGTTTAAGTGGAGAGAAAATGTTTTGAGAAACGATGTACAAATGTGCTTTACCCAATTGATGTGTGTATGGGTTGGGATAACAGTTGTATGAGCCCCTAATAAAATGTTAAAAAAATAAAATCCAGTTTTCACCATTGGCAGGATAGTGAATGAGGAAGGGGAGGCTGGTTAAATACAGCAGGTCTGTGAAGGCCAGGTTTAGCATAAGGATGGTGCTGCTTTTCCAGGGCCTCCTTTTGAAAGTATAGGTGGAAATCGCTATTGCCTTCCCTGGAAAGCCCACCAGGAAGATGATGCTGTAAATGACAGGGAGGTAGCGCACCCCCAATGGGATTTTTTCATCATTGCAATTTCCAAAAGCAGCCGGATAAACGGGGGGATCGGAAGCACTGGCTCCATCATCTAGTGACTCCTTCATGTGGCCTCCTTGCATCTCTCCAGAAAATATACGAGAGTTCCGTTTGGCGATACAAATTGACAGACAAGTAACCCCTTGATAAAGGAAAACAGAAAACATGAATGATATGGTAATGGAAACAACGATCGACTTTTAAATGAAAACTGCTCGATCTTCCTAAATTTGCCACTTCTTTCTCTAATCTCAAAAGAGACCCTGTGAAGAAGACATTGAATTTCTCAAAATGTGACTGTGAGGGAAGTTACTCAAGATATCCAACCATAATAGAAAAGTTAAAGTACCATGAGAATTAAAATGAAAGACTGGGAAAAATTCACGTGTCTCTGTGGAGAACAGTTTGGCTCACTTGATGTTGGAACGAGTTTTAGGGTATTATCATTTAGAGGCTGAACAACAATAAGCCTAAGAAAGCTAGTTCCCCATCACAAGAAGTGGATGCCAACTTATGGGGTCCCTGTGTGTTCAGAGCAGATCTGGGCTCCATCGCATTTTGAAGGATGTGACCTTTGGGAACAGGGGGCCAGGCCCGTCTTCTGGATGGACTCAAACCTCCAGCCTTCTGGTCAGCAGTGTATCTTAATAATTGACGAGGGAGTACCCGCCCCCCCCCCAAATGGAATATGTTTTCAAAGCTATGTATTTTAATTTTTTTTTAACAAAACAACCTTATCACTTTCAACGTACTCTCCATTACACGAAATAGATTGGTCAAATCTGAGATTCTATTCTTGGTAACATTTGTCAAACTCATCTGTTTGGATGGCTGACAGCACCTCCACCATATTTACTTTCTTCACCTCTTCTACATCATCAAATCACTGTTCGTTCCTGTCCCTGTTCCTCTTCATTTGCGGAAACAAAAAGAAGTCACATGGAGCGAGGTCAGGTGAGTAAGGTGTGTGGGTCAAGAGAGGCATGCTGGTTTTTGCCCAAAACTGGCCCACTGAGATGGCTGCATGAGCAGGTGCATTGTGGTGGTGGAAAAACCAGCCCTCTGTATGCCATGAGTCAGGCTTTTTGTCACACCCTCGTATACAACTTTTCAGAACCTCTAAATAGAAAGTTTGACCTGGTGGAACAAACTCCAAATGCACTGCAGGTCAACATTTTCATCAGTTAGGGAAGCTGACAGACATCCAGAATGAGGTTTGTCATCAATGGACATGTCACCTGTTTTGGAACTAGAAAACCCCTGGTACACTTGAGTTTTTCTCATAGCCCTGTCCTTGTAAGCTCTGTTCAACATCATAACAGTTTCTGCGGCATTTTTCCCCAAGCAGGAAGCAAAATTTCACCCCTGCATGCTGTTCTCTTAAATTGGCATCACAAAAAAACGAAATTCAAACAAAACTCTTTTATGAAAAATTCACCGTGACCACAGAGAATCTTCCCAGGGATGCCACTGGGTGCACTAACACAGAATGAGTTTCTGGGTACTCACTTAGTGGGAAAAAGGTAAACTACGAAAGCTCTTCCTGTTGGAGCTTTTATTCGGTTTGTTTTTCGTTTGGGTTTTTTGGCACCCCCTTGTACACACTAGAATCTAACCACAAAAATATCTACCATAAATCAAAGGCTAGATACAACACTATCATGTGAGCCCTAAACTGGACAAAATGCAGACTTCCTATTATCTCCATTTTATAAAACCAAGTGTCCTGTCCCAGGTAACACACATAATACAACCTATCCCAGGTAACACACATAATGGTGTAGTCAAGCTCTAAACCCACGTCTGTCTGACTTCAGAAGCTATATCTTTCTATGTTACTTCTCCGTAGTAATTATGATGACCTTCACTAGTATTGATGGAGCCATGGTGGCATAGTGGTTACATATCGGGCTGCAATTCTCAAGGCTCGCTGATCGAAACCACGAGCAGCTCTGAGGGTGAGAGACCCGGTTTTCTACTCCTGTCAACAGTCAGTCTCAGAATGTCACGGGGACAGTTCTACCCTGCCCTATGGGGTTGCTGTGAGTTGGCACTGCCCCATTGGTTTTTGATCGCTAGTATTGACATAAATGACAGATGGGACAGAGTGTGTGAAGAAATGAAATGACAAGCTAGTAGAGCTTTTAAAAAATAGGTTTAGTGCCTTGTATCCCTGTACGCTTGGTAGATTTACTTTTCAAATATCAAATCTTCTGATGCATTGGGATAGGTATCATAATTTGTGAACAAGCCTATGTGTATATCCAAGGGAGATGGCAGTGCAGGAGGGCAGTGAAGACCATGAGCCCAGAAGGCCAGTTGCTGGCCTTTGTTCTCCATTCAGACAGCTAATTGCTAATGGTATAAAAGCTAATTACATGTTCCTAAGGAAGCTGCTTAAACTTTCGGGAACTGAAAGGGATGACTTTTGAGATCCTTCTTATTAATGAGTATTTTTTAATTTTAGACCGTAAATTTCTGCAAAGAGAATAAATATCATGATGATTTAAAAGAAAAATGAATCGATAATCACCTTATTATTTGGATGTAAAGAGTGGCTGATCAAATGCACCCAGTTCCATATTGAGCTCATGCATCCACTGTGAATTAATTAGGCACTCTGCAAGGTTTCAGAGACACCAAACGAGGCGCTCACACCAATCTAGGTCCCCACCACATTCTACTGGAGACCATGGACAGGAGAAAACTAAAACTACTTTCGATAAAAAGATAACCCTATATTATGAATGTTCCATAAATGTTACCAGTACCAGTGGTCCTGAAGTTAATTCTGACTCACAGCGACTCCGTGTATGTCAGAGCAGAACTGTGCTATATTTTAAGGGTTGATTTTTCAGTTGTGGATCACCAGGTCTTTCTTCTGAGGTGCCTCTGGATGGACTTAACTCTCCAACCTTTCCATTATCAGCTGAATGTATTAACCATGTATACCACTCAGGTCCTCCCAATAAACTCTACATTGTTGTTAATCTGGCAAATCCTTTGATAATACAGGGACTATGGGAATCACAAAGAAGGGAGGGAACAGCTACCTGGCGTAAAGAAAAGGATCCTGAAGGAAGGTCACTGATGAGGGAACAGCTTAGCTGATGGTTGCAGAAGGAAGTGTTTCACCGACAAAGGGATGCGATAGAGATATGATATGGAGATATGATAGAGGTCAGAAGTACAAGGCATATTCTAATTAGCTCAGCATGGATGGGATATTAGGAGACACTAGGAGATGAAGGTCGAAAGAAAAATATAATCAGTAATAATATTAATGGTGGCTCTTGTGTACCAAACACTAACTATTCTTCCAAACAACCAAACTAGCTGCCATGGAGTCAATACTGACTCATAGTGACTCCTTGGGGATTTCTGAGGCTGTAACTATTTATGGGGGTAGATAGCTCATCTTTCTCCCCAAAAGCTGCTGGTGGTTTTGAACTGCCGACCATGCAGATGATAGCCCAATGCATAAGCACTATACCACCAGGACTCTTAGGGTGTAGCCTATCGAGGTTCATTTTCTCCTTACGACAAACTACCACCCATCTTTCATTGGAAGCATCTATATTACTATGATAGCAAACGGGCTTCTGCAGAGTTTGCAGATTCAGGAGAAAGGTCTGGGGATCTACTTTCTGAAAATCAGCCAAGGAAAACCCTACTGATCACAAGCATCTGATTTGCAACTGATCCTGGTGCAGAACGAGGCAGCACTGTTTTCATTGCGCATGGGTCCGCCGGAGTCCGGAGCCTGCTCAGTGATTGCTGACCACATCCATCCTCACAACAACTCCGTGGGGTTGTTCTAGCACAATCTTTACAAACGACGAAACAGATACAGAGAATGCAGTGACTTGCTCAAGGTAGCACTGCTAAGTAATATGGAGCAGGATACAAATTGAGGCAGTGGGGCTTCAGAGCTAGACTCCTAAACACTGCACTAAAATTAGGCCACAGCAAAATCTTTAAGTGCTGAAAAATCATAAGGGCTCTCATAACAAAGGCGAATTAGGCTTTACCCTATAGTAGCCCAGATATCAAAGATCCTAAATGTATGACCCAGACCAAAATTCAGATAATAACAGTATCTGCCTCATGGGGTTGAGGAGATATTCATGAGCAAATACGCATAAAGTCTTTAGGGCTGTTTTGTCACACTGTATGTGCTAGATATGCTCTCATTATTATGAATATTACTATTATCTAGCACTAAAACTTACACAAGCAAGCATTTCCTCCCTGGACCACAGGAATATTTCAGACCGGCTCAACATAACACATCTGAAATTAGCAGAATCTGTCACTATGGAGTGGCATTAAAGACAGCCACCGTCATCAAGTAGATTCAGACTCATAGTGGTCCTACAGAATAGCATAGAACTGCTCCACGGAGTTCCCAAGGCTGTCAGTCTTTACTGAACTAGACTGCGACTTCCTCTTCTGGCCGACAGGCCAGATTGAACACTGATGTTTCCCTTAGCAGTTGAGCCCTTCATCACTGCACCACAAGGGCTCCTTACAGCATTGACTACCCTCTTCCATATCCCTCTTAGTCAGGGTGACCCGTCTTAGTGTCGATGTTTATTATTAATTTTGTTCTGTACAATACGGAGAAAGACTATGCCAGGGAGCAGGAATTGACTGCTGGGCAGTTCTGAGGATCCTAAAGGGGAGGGGCTACTGCTCCCTAGATCAAAGGCAGATATTTCTCCTCTCATCCAATAAACTTATAAAACTGACATCTACAATTTAGTGACGGTGGTAAGAGGTCAGGCCCTGCTAGCAACAACATCAACAACCCCCCCCAAAAAAAAAATTCCGAACTAGGAAACGATGGTGGACATGTTTTTTCTCATCTAGAAGCCTCCATTAACCTTCTTGCGACTGGTGAGACATAGACTACCCACCTATGTGTTCTGTCTGTGGAGTTGAATGGGAAATGGCTTCCCCATGTTCAGTTCACCCTGATATCTATTGGGGAGCTGTGCAGTTCCTTTAATCTGGTGAGATGAGGATCATCCCACCAAATCTTGAACTAGAGATCTCGTGGGACATA